CCCCCCCCCCCCCCCGTGTGCTGTCCTCGAACTCAAAGCCTTAAAACCCCGAAAGACTACATGAAATCTGCTGAGGTCCTCGCGAGTAGCTTTCATGACCAACTACTATACCTTGCCTAATGCACCAAAACCTCTCGAATTGGCCGTGGTTATGATGCACATGAAGAACAATCAAATGCAGCATAATGATTGTGTTGGTTTTGAGAGGCGGTAGTGTGCCCATAGATGTTGGCAGCGGCCCTTTGTAGAGCTTCAACAAGGATGCATGAAAGACTTCATGAATCTTGCAGCCTAGAAAAAGCATTGCCAATAGACAGACGGGCTAATAAACAATGATAGAAAAAAAATCCAGAGCAGCTCAGAAACACTTTAGCATGAGTTTTTGATGGTGTATATGGAGCCATGGCCAAATTGGTGCAAAAGATAACTCCAGATAGCCTTTTATCATACTAGGGCTTCAATGCTTCATTCGTTGTGAGAATGTTGTCGCGGTCAAGAAGAGCGTGTTTGATGCCTTCAAGCTTGGCCATTCAGAGTATAGGAATGAGCTTTCGGGGTGGGGCAGATTGCAACCACACACTATGCAAAAGGGAGTGTCACCAACAGACCCAGTCATGGGACACTCGCTGCTGAAACGTTCCCAACTCCAATGTATGATTAAACACCTACGCGTAGCCAACCATTTGTGGATGATAAGCAAATAAGAAAGCCAAGTTTGCACCACTGAGGAGGAATAGCTCCTTCGAGAAGGTGTTAACAAAGACTTTATCGGGGTTAGACATAATAGGTTTTGGTAAAACTTTGAGAAGAAAAATTTCTACTAAAAAAACAGCCACTTTGGTGATATCCCAGCAGAGGGGTGAGACAAGGAAAAAAAAGTGAGCCACCATTGATACTTCATCCATGACCATGAATACATCGACTACATTTTTTTGAGTTTTGATAATCCCTCCACAAATCCAGGATAAATTTGCCCACGTGTGCTGTGGAATGGATAGTAGATGCAGCAACTGCATGGGCTGGAAATTAATCCACTTTTGTTGTTGATACACTTTCAATCTTGAACAAACTCAGCAATGGTCTTTTTTCATCTCAGGCCAATGAAATTCACTATGTAGTCGTTGAAGTTTTCTTGTCACCCCTCATGAGCAGTGAAATACAAATATGAGCATCGTAATTATGAGGAAGGAAAGCAATAAATATACTATGGCCAAAAAGAGTCTTTGTAAACTAACTCAACATGAGGTGATTCAACAAAGATATGATGGCACAGTGACCCCAAAGTGTCTGTCTCAACTAAGTCAACTAGATGACTTAACAAATCTCAAATGTAGTTGAATGAAGGAAAGTCCAATTTGGTGCATTAGAAAACTAGTGATCTCTTGTCTGTGAGGTTTCATTTTTGCCTCATGTTTGCCTCACTAGTGTCATGAGTCGCATGGCCAATCCGCATGAGACCACACAACATAGCCGATCTCTGGCCAAACAATGGAATAAAAAATGTGAAAGCTATGGAGGCTGGTGGCTTGAAAGCATTGTCATATGCACAAAATAAGTTATTACTCCAAACACAAAAAATAATTTTTTCTAAAATTTTCTAACGCAAAATCCTTTTAGATACGGAAAGTAGTCCTTAAAGCTTCAGCTTGTAATGAGGAAATATGATTTGAAAAAGGAACACTAATATTCCCTTGGTACCTTTTTATTTGTCTCATTTCAGCTTATGATGCTTAATTGATGTTATTTTGAATTCAATCTATATAAATATTGGTGTAAAATTTAAAAAAAAAATATTTTTTATATGTTTTAAAAGTACATCCAAAGCTCTATGAAACTAGGGATGACTTAACAATTTTAATTTAATTTCTTATAAAATGATCTAATAAAATAGGTTAGGAAAGAAAATCTGGTTTGACCCTATGAAATTTGAGCAGTGAATGAGACAAATAAAAAGGAAAGGGGGCAGTAATCTGTTTTCAAAAAAGGAATACTAGTAAAATTGATAAAACTTGGGCAACTCTTCACAGGGCTTGGGCCGAAATGTCCTTCAAGAAAATATAGGTACTCATTACACTTATTCTTTTTTATTTTGATATTAAAAGCAAACAAAAACCATGCGAACAAAAGGCAATTATCAGTTTGCTGGCAGGCCTTGTTACTTTTGCAAGGGATGAGGATGATGACTTTTTGGTTTATAAGATTACTTCTACAACAACTTCGACCATACTGGCACCAGTGGTAAACATTCATGTGCCCAAGCCGCCAAGCCCACTATGTTTACACTTGTCAACATAAATCTTCTCACACCACCCCACATGTTTCATGTCCTGACCCGGATTCGGTCTCATGAATTGCATCAACTACTTTGCCTAAAGAGTAGGCTCTTGTCATTGACCATGATCTCCAAACAGCTTTGCGCAAAGGTAAATGACGTGCACGCATCTCATCTCTTCATTTGTATCATATGATCATACTACATTACATCTTGCTCTTTTAGTTCATCCAATGACTCTATTTCCTTTGAAGAGGCATTTTCCTACCTTGGATGGCATGATGCATTAAATAGAGAAAATGAATGCTTTGGATTTCAATGGTACTTGGGGGAGCAAGTGTTTTTTTGCGTTTGTGTTAATGTTATTCCTTATGGTTCTCTTGCAAGGTGCCAAGGTGAAAACCTGCCTTATTGCCAAACGCTGTGATCAGACTTATGGTATTGACCATTGTGATACCATCTCATCACTTTCTATGTTAAAACCTATCTAGTTATTTATCTCTCTTGCTACCACTTAAGCACGGACCTTACATGAATTGAACCAGAGCTCAAGAACCTGAAAGATCAAATTTATATACTTTTTTTGAAGACGCAAGCAAAGTTGGTACGGCGACAAGGCAAGGCAAGGCGCCAGAGTTCCTCTTGTTTTCAGGAGCACCTCATTGCCTTGGACGTTTTCAGGTGAGGTGTCCATCTTATAGCGCCTTAGTGCCTGAGCAATGCCTTAATAACTATGGTCACGAGCAGGAGGAATGAGAACTTTGAAAAATGTTTCTGGAAAATAAAAGTGACAGTAAGTATGGAATACTATATTAATATTGGTGAATTTAAATGAAGGAAATCTTGCTCCATCTTGTAACTTTGGGCAGTTCAGAAAAGTTTTTGAATTGCTACAATTGGATCTTTAAAATCTCTGAATGCTTAGCAACCAAATGACCCCAAAAGCTGCATCTGTAGCTTTTGAAAGTTCTAAGAACTGCAAAGAATCTCCCAAATGCTCATATCATTGGGATGTTGTCAGCAGTATCTCAAGGTATGTCAAGAAGTCTCCTGGACTCCTGGCATTGGTCTCCCATTTACAAATTCTTTCATCTTTTCTTATTTCATTCGACAACTTATTTGTTAAGCTGATTGCCCCACTCTCAATGCATCTCTCTCAATTGATGGGAATTGAAGAGTAGTTGCCAGATTAGTCTTGGGGACCAACCCTTATAACCTTTATATAGCAACCAAGTTAGACCCCATTAACCCTAACTAGGTTTTCTATTGGGTTTTACACATTACAAAGCCCGTACCTTATAAGTACAAGTACAGGTTGAACTCGATGGCTGCAGGGGTCACCGCCTCCAGTGGCAAAGAGGAGGCGCGGTGTATAATGAAGGTGTTCAAGGAGATTATGAGTCTGGTCGGGGAATTGGCCCCGTGGGACTCGCTCTACCCGACCCGATTGGTGCCGTGGTTGGATTTTGGTGGCCAGATTGCATCCATGAAGTGAGTGTCTAAAGCAATGGATGATATCTTGAAAAGCTGGATGGAAGACCATGTCAATAGGTAGGAGGAGATTGTCCAACGGAGAGGATGATGACCATGCTCTCCAGGAATTCTAGTCTGGCAAAGAAGAAGAGAAAAGAAAATGGGGGGTGTGGGTCGGGGGGATGGAAGAAGAAGAAGAGAAGAGGGGGGAGGGGAAGCTGAATGAAAGAAAACAACAACAACAACAACAACAACCCAGTTAAATCCCACAAGAGTAGGGTCTGGGGAGGGTGTGTGTACGCAGACCTTACCCCTACTCGAAAGTAGAGAGACTGTTTCCAAAGAGACCCCCGGCTCAACGTCGAAAGTTGCATTGCTTGACTAACTGCTACTTCATTAATGGACTTTTGGTGAAAGAATGTTGAAGTTGGTGTATTTTTGCGATGGGATTTAAAGTTCAAATACCAAAATCAAATAATGTTGAAAGTTCGTATGCCACTGATGAAATTTATCGAAACTTAAGCAACACATCCTAAAAGCACAATTTCAAAAGGGAATTACCAAGTCGTTCTCTTTCCCCTTCAGCATATCTAACTCTTAATGGACACTCAGCCTGGAAGGAAAAAGCATATATCAAATAGCAGGAGAGGAGTGCCTGTTATGGATGAAAGCTAACACACACTCCATCCCAAAAAACTTTACCAGTTTGACTTTTATGGAGTTTAAGAATAGTGTTGAAAAGTGCAAAATGTATGGTTAGAACTTAGTTAAATGAGAGAGACATCTTGCAAGCCACATGTTCATTACTAAAAAAGAAATAAAGTGGGTGTTAGATTTAATCAGGTTTGTTCACATATAACTGAATGGGTAATAGGTCAATGTTTGGGTCAGTTAGTATAGAGTCAGTTAGTATGGAGTCGGTTAGTGTGTCTTTCATATTTAATTAATTAAAAATAAAAAACAGTTAGGCAGTTTTTAAAAGATAGGTCCTGGTAGTTTTTTAAAGTTATGTTGCTTTGTAAAAGTTGTGACGGTTTGTTCTCTATTTATATTTAGAGAACACAGAATCCTGTAACAATCACAACAATGAAATATTCTTCTGTTTTGCTTTGATCCAATCCTGTCTATCAATAGGTATCAGAGTGACAATCCAATCACGACCCAGCAATCAAAGGGAGCAGGTCCAATTTGCGATCAGGGGGTGTGTGATTGACAGCATAAGAGACTGGCCAGATCGCAAAACAGTGCATTAGCAACTTTCTAGACAACATGTCAGGAATCTTCGACTAGATTTCTTCCTCGCCTTGGACAAGAACAGCAAGTGGCTAGTTTTTTCTTAAGCAGAAGTATTCCAACCAAAAGGCGCAGGAAAAACGAATCAGCGGGGTAGTTTTTGTTTAGCGGCTTGGAAGACGGAAAAGCAAGGGGCTTGTTTTCTGGTTGATGGTCGATTGCATGTGGCTTACGACCCGGGAAGGAATTGAAGTCTAAGAATTTTAGAAAAATTGTCAAAGGAATTAAAGTCGTGCAATGGAAGACAACCCGAACAGACAAATGGTGACTACAAAGGAGAATAGGATTTGGGAGGTGATCAAACCACGAATGGAATTTGGGAGGTGATCAAACCAGGAACAGAAACCAATCCAAAGAAGAACAATATGGTGATAGCATATATGTTTCAAGCTTTGCCGGAAGAGATCGTGTCACAAGTTGCTCAGTTTACTGAAGCTAAAGAAAATTGGGATGCTCTGAAGACTCGCTTTGTTGGTGTTGACAGGGTTGAAGAGGCGCGATTACAAACACTCAAATCAGATTTTGAGTCTCTGAAAACGAAGAACAATGAGTCACTTGATTATTTTGCTGGAAAAATTAGTCAACTTGCAACACAAGCAAGCAACCTTGGGTCTGCTCAGTTTACTGAAGCTAAAGAAAATTGGGATGCTCTGAAGACTCGCTTTGTTGGTGTTGACAGGGTTGAAGAGGCGCGATTACAAACACTCAAATCAGATTTTGAGTCTTTGAAAACGAAGAACAATGAGTCACTTGATGATTTTGCTGGAAAAATTAGTCAACTTGCAACACAAGCAAGCAACCTTGGGTCTGCATTTAAAGACAAAAAAATTGGTTCGAAACATGTTGGAAACTGCGCCAGAAAAGTTCAGACAGATCAATGCTACAATTGAACAGTTTGCCGACATTAACACAATGCCGTTTCAAGAAGTAGTTGGAAGATTGAAAGCATTCAAGGAACACATCAAAAAGCCAAGCGAGGAAAAAGATACACCTGGTAAACTACTATTCACTAAAGGTGATGGAAAAGAGGAGGTTAAGGAGCACAAATGTGAGCATTGTGGTTGCGGGAGCTCAATCCGAGAAGACTTTGGCCGTGGCCGAGGTAGAGGTCCAAGAAAGGTCAAGATGGCGGTCGGTTTCAGCGGGATAAGAGTCACATTAGGTGATTCAATTCAACGAGCTCGGGCATTTGTGAACGAATGTCCAAAACGGGATCAAAAGGAAGACACTACAAATTTGATTCAAGATGATGATGATTGATGAACCAACGTTGTTGTGAAGATCAGTGTGAACAAGCAATGATTAGGGACGTAATTGTTAGATTTCATCGAGTTTGTTCACATATAACTGAATGGGCAATGGCTCAATGTTTGGGTCAGTTAGAATATAGTCGGTTAGTGTGTCTTTCATATTTAATTATTTATAAATAAAAACATTTAGGCAATTCTTAAAAAATAGGTCCTGGTAGTTTCTTAAAATTGTGTTGGTTTGTAAAAGTTGTGATGGTTTGCACTCTATTTATATTTAGAGAACACAAAGAATCCTGTGAAAGTTCACAAGAGTAAAATGTTCTTCTGTTTTGCTTTGATCTCATCCTGCGTGGGAAGTGTCCTTTGGGACGTCCTAAAAGAAAGAGTGGGTAAAGTTTTTTGGGACAGAGAGAGTATTAAGTTCAGTTGCGGAAAAACTAACCCCAGGGATAGTGTACCGATCATGTAATGCTAAAATTGCTCGATCAGCATCATCCAATGCTCTATACTTCACAAAACAACTCACTGCAAAGTCAGCATACAGACAAATTATGCAATTACGAATAAAGGTTGCATAATGCCTAGACCTCACCTAAATAATGAGTACAAGTCTGTGGTTTATATGAATATCAAACATGAATAAGTAAAACAAACAAAATTTGTAGCATTGACAATATACAGTCTAAGACAATGATATCCCTTGATACCCCTTAAATAAAGGGATTAAAGATTTTGCGAGAGGAAATAATAAGTAAAGCATATTTCTATGGCGAAATATCATTAAGTATATGCCTTGAAAAGTAGTGAAGCACACCAAGATTATCAATGTAATACAACAATAACAACAACAAGAAACTCATACTATCCTAACTCTCCCAATTCTGTTAGGGGCTAGGGTCAAAACTCAAGATGTACTCAACTTGGAAAAAGAGGTTGTTTCCTTGAAAAGAACTAGGTATACTTTGAATGTTAAGAAAAGAAAGGTAATTATGAAAAGGATACAAGCCTATATTAAGTAATAGTTTTGGTTACCAAGAATTTTGATCTTTGCAACAACTATACATGGATGGCAATACTTCAAAAGAAAAAATAATAATGGATGCAGCTCTTTCTCATCCTCTATGCTTTTTTTAACTTTTGGATTTTAATCCCTTTGTTCCTATTTATCTCGCGGGTTTACCACAGTAACAGTTTGAGAGGTATTAAAAAAATTAAAATTGTTATAAACATTTAATACTTTTCCAAAAAATATCTCACTAAAAGCCACCCTCATTAACAGTGCAGTTATAAAAATGCCACTGAACCAATTTTTTTGTCAAAAAAAGTCACTCCCTGTTAAATGTCAAAAAATGCCACACGCATCTGATTAGAGTAGGTTAAAACAAAGAGAAGTTTTAAAATGCCACTAAACTTTTTTTGTCAAAAACACCACTCCTTTTGTTATTTCTATATCATACAAGTTTTAATTAATGTTTAAAAATACCACTCTTATGTCTGTAACCCATCAGTTAAAATTCTTCTATTTTAATTTTATTTTTTTTATTAGGTATTCTTTCTCATCAAATTTGTTTCTTTTCAGTTCTATCAACTCACAAATATTAGATTTATAAAGAAATCAATTTTTAAAAAACATAATTTTGTAATACTCCCCTTGTCTGCAAGAAGACTTGACAGTTTAAATTCACACAAATGAACAAGTGTTGAAAAGTTGATGAAAAGTGAAAAATGTATGCCTGAAATTTATTTGAAAGAGAGAAAATGAATTATGCCCCCATATTTGCATTTTGCTCAGAGAAAATGATATCCTTTTCAGACTATCCAATTTTCATGAGTTGCTAGTGAGTTTATTGTTTCATGATACAAATTCTTAACAAATGAAAAGAATATCATATATTACAAAATTATGTTTTTTTAAAATTTGATTTTTTTATAAATATAGTCTTTGTGAGTTGATACAACTCAAAAGAAATAAATTTGTTGAGAAAGAGAAGGAAACCATGGGGGGGATTTAAAAAAAGAATTTTAACTTATTGGTCAAATACATAAGAGTGGTATATTTAAACATTAATAAAAACTTTTTGACATATAGAAATAAAAAAGGGAGTGACATTTTTGCAAAAAAAACGTTTAGTGGCATTTTCAAACTTCACTATGTTTTAACTGTCTCTAATCGGTTAAAAGGAACAAGACTAGTATTTTTACGATAAATAAAAAGTTCAATGGCAGTAGGGCAGTACAGAAACAAAAAAACAGAGTGGCATTCTTGACAAAAAAAATAGTTCAATGGCATTTTTATAACTGTACTCCCCTCATTAATGTCCTTCTGGGAAAAGGGAAAATTGAATAGAAGAGGGGTAAATCAATTAAAGAGAACATGCAACTCAATTCATATTGAGAAGTATGAGAACTTTTCATACAGGCGGAGTATTTAATTATTTCCACAAGGTAAAAGAACATGTTCGGCTTCTTATATTGGAAAAATACGATTTAATGAGGATTTAGTTCATCCTGCTTGTTCCATACACTTACACTGTTGAATATTTAAAATTATACATAATATCGTATCTACAGAAAGCATATGTATCACAAAAACCAAAGCCAAAAAGGTTGTTACACCGCCCTCTCAGAGGATCAGTTGCCTGAATATTTCAAGAAAGTCAAGAAGGATGGATATTTCACCACAAATATTTCCAAACTGTAATTTTTTCCAGGAAGATGTATTTATGAATTACTCCGGTATGATTTATCAAAACTAAATAAGAGCATCCAAATTTTAACACTCAAATACATATGCATTTGGAAAATATAAAATATTGTTAATCTGCAATGTTAATCAAGCAATGGGAGTTTGTATTTCCATTTATGAAAAACCAGACTGTTTATATCAACTGCCACTCAACATTGTTTGCGAATAGTACAAGTATTACGAACAGAAGGCATTTGCATACCTTGTTTTTGATCGATCTTTTTATCCTTGAGGAGAATAATCTCTAAGATATGCCCATATTCACCAAAAATGTGTCGAATCTGGAGTTGAATTAGTCAACATAATGCTTGTGAAGCATTTTGAAGCAGCATCCATACGAAACATTTTGAAGAAACAACTGTTGACCTCTAAAACTAAATATTTACCAGAAACTATGGCAGATGATGTCTTCACTTTTTATAAAACAATGAGACTCATAAATCCACTTATATTGTGTGTGTGAACATGATATAGGTATAATCAACCAAACATGAATAGTATCTACTGTTACTGTTTAAAATTGTCATGCTTGATGTGAATTAACTATAGCGCAATACAGAATTATGATTATGTTGTATTCAATCATCCTTACATTAGATAAATAAGCTTGTGACATATGAATATAACTGCAGTAAGACCAAGACAAAGACAACACAAAAATTTGAGTTATTGATGTGTTTGATCCAATGGCTTTGAGATTGGAATAGTCACAATTATTAATTCCAATAAGTACCACCATCCTGGCCTTGATGGAACCTTTAATCAAGAACTGTTATATATACTTTTACAGCTCCACCCTTTCCCCTCCACCCAAAAACAAAACCCCAAACGTAAATGTAAAGAGGTTATGCTGGCATAAAAACTTGAATTCCTTTTGTTATAAAATCTCCAAATAGTTTATATCCTTTCCGGAGCATGTATACATGCTGAATTCATGAGTTGCTGGAGATCTTAATTGCGGTAAAACATACTCCTTATTAGATCCAAAGGTGTAAGGTTCAAAATTTCTCTGTATTATTTGTTACGAGTACATTAGACATAGAAGGGTGTACTATGGAGTATGCACCATACGTAAATAAGTACACTATTTTTCAAAAGCTAATACTCCATACGTCCCTTTTTAATCTTCTCATTTACTATTAAACTAGTCATAAAAGAAAAATGATCAAAATATATCCTCTTGACTGGTAGAATTTTCATATAGTTTTAAACATAATTTTTTTATTTTAAATTTCACACCAACATTTAAATAAATTGAATTGGGGGAGGGAGCAACACATACATCTTCTTCGGTAGTTGTTCTTGGAACTCCTCCAACATATAGTTTAACAAATCCCCCACCTTCTAGTACATCTGAAAGGAAGAAAATAAAATAAAATCGACATGTATTAATTTGAACGGAAAGAAACATTACTTCTTCTGAGAAATTAACAGCTGGATCAAAAACAAGTAAATTGAATTGCAAAGGAGAGTTTCAGTCTTTAACAAATCGAATTGAAATTAACTAAAAGTTTGCCTGCCTGGAAACAGAGGTAGTTGTGAAGAGGGAAGAGGTCTTTTTCGCCCGGATGTGTGCGGAGAATGGCCGAAGTTGCGGGTGGCGGCTCCATTAACGGATTCATTTGGCTCGAGGCTTGTGTTTTGATGAAGGCGGTCCTCTGAATTATTATCGTGGTGCTCATACGGCTTCTGGTGGCAGCGCTGACGGTGCTGGTTGGCGTCTCCTGGAAATCTACCTCCGTGATTGGCGTTATTGTGGGCAATGGACTCGTCTGAGTGCTGCGACGGCGCTGTAGTTTTATAGTTGCGGTGAAAGTCAGGGTGGTCGCATGGGAGTTCTCCATTGCTTCTAGCATCCATTGTTCTTAAATTGAAAATAGACACACTTCAGTAGTTCAGCTATGGGAAGCCAAAGACTATGAAGGAGGTGGCTGGATTCTCCATCGCCGCGAGGGGATTTGAGGTCGATTGCTCTGTGACTTGTCTAGTTAACGGTCCCCCAACAATGCCCCAGCCAGCTGTAGTTGAGCAGCTGGCTGGGAACGCGAACGAATGGAGCGGCGGCTACCGAGAACGGGAACGAAGGAAGCAGATGCTGAGTCTACTGAGAATGAAAGACGGGCGGAGACGGGGAGGAAACCTAGCTACTTGGATATGGGACGAATGGAGTGGTTTCTATCCTAAGAGCAACTCAAAAGCTACAACGGCAGTCTAAAAATAGAAGAATCAGAGAGTCTTCAAAAAAAAAGTTAGATCTTTTAAAAAACTAGACTTCTTTAAAAACTAAAAACTAAATAATTGGAAAAAGTATTGATGATTGAAAATGATAAAATTTAATAAATATAAAAATATATAATCAAATATTAATGAGGAAATATACAATAAAATAGAAAGTGGAACCATACGATATAAGTTTTGGAAAACTTCTTTAAACACTACATATGTAGTTTGGTTCGACTGAGCAAGATCTTCATTACAATAAGAAATTCTACTCAACTCCCCATAGATGCTTGAAGTAGAAATATCAAACTTATGATGTGTATGTCTTACATATTTTATAGAAAAAATATAAGAAAAATGCTAAGGGTACACCAAAGCTGTACCTCATTTGTCTACCACCCCCTCCTCCACCACATAAATGGGCAAAAACTTAAAAATAAATAAATAATTAAAAATGAAATAAAAATATGTGGTGGAGAAGGGGGTGGGGACAAATGGGGTACACCAAAGGTGTACCCCTAGCATTCCTCAAAATATAATGCTCCCACTAACCTTTTATTATCACAAGTTTTCATCTCTTGTCAAAGACAAACTCATAACTGATTGTGCTTTTCTAAAAGCGATGAAATAACTCCAAGAAACTTGCTTAAGATCTCACCGGGTAACATTTAGATCTTATATATAGCTCATTGTCATTTTTTGTACGTAGGGCAATTTATGCCCATGAGTTTGGTCTATGATTCATCTCAATTATGAGTCGTACGTCTATGTCTTACGAGTGACGTATTCAAATAGACCTTATCTATTCTTATGCCATTTGAGCAATCTAGAGGCACAACACAATGTTTCTCTTGATCATGTTCCATTCTCAGAGACGCCTTGAATTTTTTGAAGATCTATCTTCCCCCCACTAACTTTTAAGTAGAGGGATTTCTTCTCTAAGAAAACTCTATAATGAGCAACAACACTTTGTTCTCTAATAGGTGATAAAACTATCTACGAGTTTCCTCAGGTTATTCCAAAAGACATTTAACACTTTTGCTTCGGATCGCCAGAAGTCCTACGCTGACCTAAAGCATAGAGAAATTGAGTATAATGTTGATGGTTGGGTATTTCTCAAAGTTTCCCTGTGGAGGAAGGTGTTAAGGTTTGGCAAGGAAGCAAAGCTAAGTCCTAGGTTCATTGGACCGTATCGGGTCATTATATTGAACGAGTAGGACCAGTGGCCTACCGATTTGAGTTACCTCTAGATCTACAAAAGATACACGACGTGTTTCATGTGTCTATGTTAAGAAGATATCGATCGGACCCGTCACACGTTCTACGTGAGGGAGCAGTCGCCCTCGACGAGAGTCTTACTTGTGAAGAAGAACCCGTACAAATCCTAGTGCGTGAAGTAAAGAAGTCGAGGAACAAGATAGTCCCCTTAGTCAAGGTGCTTTGGCGAAACCACACGGTGGAAGAAGCAACCTGGGAGACCGAGGAATCCATGAGAGCTCAGTATCCTCAACTCTTCAATGACCAATGACTCAGGTAATTTCGAAAACGAAATTCTTTTAAGGTGGAGAGAAATGTAATGCCCCAAAACCCGGCCTATCAGAATTAATTAATTAAAGATAGTTAATTAATTACTGATATGGACTCGGTGGAAATTATGAAACATTCTTCATTTGACAATAAAGTTTGTACCGTTATGTAGGATTCGACGGAACGAATCCAATGGTGCAATGGGATTTGGGTTTGGAGCCCGTGGGCCCGGAAAGTGCGTTTTGGGCCAGGTACATTAAGTTAATACGGAGCCCAAAAACCTCAAACCTATAAATAAACTCATTCACACGCCTAAACTTTTTACGCCTCCCATAACATTACGTAAACTCCTCTCTCTCTCTCTCTCTCGGCTCTCTCCTTTGTCGATCGGAAACAGGGCAGCAAAGATGAAGAGTTCATCGCCGCGCGATTTCCCTGTTCGTTGGTATTGCCTCATAATTAGTAACGTCGAACTCGAGGTGAGTACGTGGACATCTATCGTATGGTTATAGTCATAGGTTTGAATCTTACGTTCGTTACGATTGATCTACTTGAACCTACGTGAATTAAACCTTGTTTATATCGTTTACAGTTTGAGAAGCATGATTTAGAACGTGTTAATGCTTGAAATTACGAATTCGATGTTGTTTTGGTTGAATGAACTGGAACTGGTGCAGGTCTGACTTCTGCCACGACAGACCAGGTATCGTTGACACGGTACCTACCTACCGTCACTCGCTCTAATTTTCATTTGCACCGTTGGTACCTGTCATCAAACGGTACCTAGGTACTGGGCGGACGGTAGGCCCTACCTCCAGGTCGGTAGAGGCTACCGTGAGAGGCCTATTGGTGGGGTGTTAGACGCGGTCGGTACCCACGTACCGTGGGACGGTACCCTGGTACCGTGGGGTCGGTACCCCTACCGATAAGGGTACCCTGAGGTACCTGAATCGGTCAGAATCTTCTGTTTGCATCGAGAATCGATTCCGAGACTTTGTGTGTTGCATGACGGTAAACATGGGTGTCAATACCCGGTGTTAGGCCGCAATTTGAACAAGTTGAATGTGTTGGTTGACTCTTGGTTGATGTATGAATGTGTATATCATGAATTGTTAATGAATAAAGGATGAAACACCTAGAATGAACTCTAGGGGCTGACCTGGATGAATTAGTGGCATGTTATGCCATCCTATATATATATATATATATATATATATATATATATATATATATATATATATATATATATATATATATATATATATATCTCGGAACCCAAAGCGGTAAATGTACTCCTTTCAATACTTTAGATCAGCTGCCTAAGAAAGTTAGAGCAAGCTTTTGCCTTGATATGCTTGTACCCTTTTTAAGATTGCAATAAAATTACATTTTTAATATATATATATATATATATATATATATATATATATATATATATATATATATATATATATATATGGATGATGAGGTCTAAGGATCAATCTCAAATGGGCAAAGGCTATTTTTGGCTAAGCGGAAAGAGAGTTAAGGCGGGACTCGTTTGATCCAGATTGTTTTTTGTTCTTTTTGTTTTAGCTTTTGGAGAACTTCATCTCCAGACGCGTTGTAACCCTTTTGCTTTCCTGTTCATTCTGAATAAAAAATAATATATATATATATATATATATATATATATATGGGATTGACTCTTGTGAGATGACACCCTACGGTGAGATGTCATGCTTCGGTCAGATGACACAAAGCTCACTACTCGCCACTGCAAAGCTCACCAAAAACAACTACAAAGCTCACCAAACTGTAAGGCAAAGCTCACCATATTTTTTCCACACTTTAAATTTTTTTCAAAAAAAAAATCAAAGAAAGGGGTGCTGACTGGACTTTGACTGTTGACCGCCAGCAATGACCTCCGCCTGCCGACGCCGGTCTCCGCCGGTTGCCGGCCGCCGTCGCCGGACTCTGGCCGCCGTCGCCAGACTCCGGCCGCCACCGCCGCCGTACTCTGGCTGCCACTGTCGCTGCCGCCGGTCGCCGCTGCCGGATTCTGGCCGCCGCTGCTGCTCCGCCGCCGTTGACCGGTGGTTGACCTGTGTTGTTATTTTATTTTTAATAAATTTTTTAATTTTTAAAATTTAAAAAATGTGAGTTTTGGGGTTCAAAGTGGTGAGCATTGTTTTATTTCCAAGTGAGTTTTGCTTGGTCCATTGGTGAGCTTTGTAGTGTAGTGTGGTGAGCTTTGTGTCATCTGACCGAAACATGTCATCTCACCGTAAGGTGTCATCTCACTAGAGTCAATCTCTCTCTCTCTCTCTCTCTCTCTCTATATATATATATATATATATATATATATATATATATATATATATATATATGTAAAGTTGAGTGTGTTGGTTGTGGTGTTGACATGTGGCATGCCACATGTGCGTCCACATGTGCACTAATTATAAGATGCAGGCATTTCATTGGTTCATTAAGCTTCTTTTCTTAAAGATCTTTTAATATATTTTATTGTATTATATTAAATGAATATTATTTTTTAGCATAAATAAACATTACTTTGATTATATTTTTATAAAACTTTAACATTTTCTAACGATTTTATAAATATATATTTCACTATTGTAAAATATACTCCGTATTTTAAATATGCATATTGATTGTATTAATTTAAACATATTTCACTTTCAAAAAATGAAAAAACATTTCACCTTCAAAGATATTAAATTGTTTTTGGCATTTTTATGTTTTACTTAATGTAATATTTTTTAATAAGATAGTTATAGAATTTTTAGTGCATGTACATCAATATTTAAAGTATACTTTTTATTTAAAAAATATACTCCGTATATCTTAGAGTGAAATAATATTCATTTAAAATAAATAAAATTATATTCATAGAATGTCAAAAATTTAGAATGTATACGAGCCTGTGAGAAGCACGGGGTTGAAACTAGTAAGTTAGTAAGTTAGAGTCATGTGGTACCTGCTGGGTCCAATGGCTGTTCGGGTAAAAACGTGTACACGGAGATCTAAGAACTGTCGTTCCGAAGGAGACAGGGATCTCACCCACCCAACGAGGAACTCCCGAGTTGGCTTGAACTTGACCATCGTTCTGAAGGGGAAGGTCATGACTCCCATAGGCAAGTTGGATACAATTAAGCTTTAACCTAGCATAGGTTAAGAGTCAAGTATGAAAAGAAAGTAAAGTAAGTTAAAGAGGAAAAGAACCTAATGTTATATCATTATTATTGTATCTCATGAATGATGATGTTATTGATTATGCATGATATATCTTGTATACGTTTACGATTGTTGGTGAGCATGTTGCGTGCATGATATCATATGATGATATGGGCTAGTGAGATCATCTATGGGTAGATCTGTATGTTAGATATTTCTCACTTAGCTTCAATGCTGAGCGTGTAG